CCTAATTCTAAACCTAACGCTAACCCTTAACCTAACCCTAACCCTAACGCTTAACCTGACCCTAAACCTAACCCTAACCCTTAACCTAACCCTAACCCTAACGCTTAACCTGACCCTAAACCTAACCCTTACCTTAACGTGAATTGGCTTGCTTTTAAAGCGCTTTTTAAAGCGCCCTTTTTTCTCCGCGGTCGCTGTTGTCGCACTGCTGCTGATGTCAGCGACGCGCTTTAATCGGGTGCGCTTTAGTGGACCGCGGTTTTGTCGTGCCACGTAGTAAACAAGAGCTTAATCAAAGAAACCACCAAAAACACCCCCCACCAACATTGACAGGACAAACCATTGCATATTATTTATTAAAGGAAATTAATAGAGTAACAGAGTTGAAAGGGACCTGGGAGGTCTTCTAGTCCAACCCCTTGCTTAGGCAGGAAACCTACACCACTTCAGACAAATGGTTATCCAACATCTTCTTAAAAACTTCCAATGTTGGAGCATTTGCAACTTCTGGAGGCAAGTTGTTCCACTGATTGATTGTTCTCACTGTCAGGAAATCTCTCCTTAGTTCTAGGCTGGATCTTTCCTTGATTAGTTTCCACCCATTGCTTCTTGTCCTGCCCTCAGGTGCTTTGGAGAACAGTTTGACTCCCTCTTCTTTGGAGGGAGGGCAGTATATAGCTAGAGGGCACACCCCATCCCTTCTAGTACTGATAAAGGTACCTATTTGGGTAATGAAATGCCTGCGAGAAAAAAAGAGAGAGCTCACCAAGGACCCCACACGATTCACAGTACCTCTCCGCAGCTTTTTATCCTACCCAACAATTTGTATTTAATCACATCCATTCTCCGCTTCCTTTATAGCATTTTTTTTCCAATTTCAGACTTTGAGTCCCCAATGGAAGTGAACATATGAAATTGCTGAATACTTACATAATTATTCTCTATTCATGGCAAAGAAATTTGAAACTGTTGTGTGCTTGGAGTTATAGCCTGATTTGTTTGTAAGGACAACCTTGTAAATGGGTTCCTATTCTTTCTTTCTTTTTTCTTTTTTAAAAAAGGGGTGTTTAAGAGATAATAATAGAGCAGCTTGGATTTCATTTCTTTGCCTTCCCCTGAAATTTGTAGAAATGAGTGTTTTGTGACCTTATTGCATTTCTCTGGAGATGAGTCGGTTCAGATGGTTGACACAGCAAACATCTGTTTGGGGAAATGCAGATATTTTTTCCCCCAAAAAAGATTTTGAATTAATTTCCTCCACCCCCACTTTGGTAAATGAATCTTCCCTTCTGTTGTGCAGAAACAAAGGACGGAGTTTCCTCCAAAGCAACCAGACCCCACGCCTGCTGCTCCTTCCCCACCACAGATGCCGCTTCCGGTCCCTCTCCCTCCCTGTGTCCCTGCTCCTGTCCCCGTTCCGTTGCCAAAGGTCCCCGGGGCCATCAGCCGCCAGAGCAGCACATCAAGCGATGGTGGCCGGGATGGCCAGAGGCAGAAGCTTCCACCTGTTGACCGTGAGTTTCTCTCCAGGTTCATCGTTGTTTCTTTCAGGATGACAGAGTTGGAAGGGACCTTGGAGGCCTTCTAGTCCAACCCCCTGCTCAAGCAGGAAACCTTAAGCCATTTCAGACAGAGGGTTATCCAATCTCTTCTTTAAAACCTCAATTGTTCAAGCACCCACAACTTCTGGTTCCATTGATAACACAGAGGGAGGTCTGACAGAGGAGAGGGAAATTCCTTGCCTTGCACGCAGGAAATATCTCCCTCCCTCCCTCCTTCCATCCATCCTTCCTTCCCTCCTTCCTTCTTTCCTTCTTTCCTTCCTTCCTTCTTTCTTTCTTTCCCTCCTTCCTTCCTTCCTTCTTTCTTTCTTTCCCTCCTCAACTGAATGTCATCCAGAAAAAATTGCTTTAAAAAAATGACATTCAGAGGATGTCCGCTTTGTTTAAAAGCCAGATTACTAATCCTTGTAATAATGGAGAAAATGCGATGATCTCTGCTAGGTGCATGATTAATTTTTACCAACAGAAGGAAGCCAGAAAGATTAAGTTAAAAAATAATTTTTTTTAAACAAACCCATTGCCTAGACTGTTATTCTCACTCTTGATATTTGCACGACTCCAGAACTTCGTGGTTATTCGAGCC